CAAGTCACCGTCCCTGACCTGCATACCTGCTCCTGGTGATTGACTGCAAATGCTGAAGCTGCTGGATTAGAATAACAGTCAGGCACCTAACATTTTGTGAAGGACATGTCCGCATACATCATCCTCTCAGTAAAGGTCTCCTGTTACATCTGTAGGCCCCTAAATAGTACTGCTTGCCCTCTTTTTCCTTGCATGCATGGTGGTACCTACGGCAGGGGCGGACTGGGCCGGGGGGCAGGGTGGCAATTGCCCCCCGGGCCTCTCTGATGCCATCGCGAACGGCCGCTGCCACCTGCACTCACGGGGCACTTGGGCCAAGTGCCCCACAGGTACCACCATGCATGCAAGAAAAATCATGCCATGGCCAGATTGTGCAAGCACACCCAGCCACCTTCTAAAGACTACAGGCCACAGGAACCTGGTTCTCAATACTTGCTGAACTTTCCAACCTGCTCAGGACCAGTTATCCTTTCCTCTGGTAGCCTAGCTTATATAGGTGACTGCAAGGGGCGTCCTCAGCCCTCCACCAATTCAGAACTACCAGGTTATCTACTAGGGGCTCTGGCGGTGTCAGGGAAGAAACCTTAGGGTGCCTGCTACAAAGCCTGGCAGTGAAAGCCCAACTCCAGCCAAAATGTTTCTGTAGTAGAGTGGAGAACCTGTTTTAGTTCAGAATTCGTCAACTTTTTTTTTGAGAGTCCCCAGTTTGGGAGATTATCTTCACTTCCTGTCTATTTGAGGGGCATCAGACAGAATAAGATGGAAAGACCCCTCCTGCTGCAAGCACAGAAAGATATCTGTTGTCTCTGCCAATGAGCTCAAAACACCTGAACAATGCCGGCATCCAATCAGGTTTTTTTGACAGCCAGCGGGTCCGACTAGCAAGATACCGAAGTTTGGCCCAGTGGGAGATTCCTCCATACACACAGTTTAGCGTAGATGGAGGAATCTGTTGCACTTTTTCCATCTGACCCTAGAAAGTCTGCAGATAATCTATAGATGTATAACCAGCATTACATAGAACACCTCAGGGCACAATGCCTCAATGCAATATGTTCTGGTGGTGATGATGGATAGGGGGAGGTGTTCTGTAGCCCTAACACTTTCTATCCTAGGGCTTAGTCCTGCATAGAAACAGTAGGATGACTGAGCATTCTCACCCTTGGACCAGAAGCGTTACAGGCTGGATCACCAGGGGATAATAGAGGGGGGGGGGGATACAGTAGAATGAGTGAGCATTCTCACCCTTGGACCAGTAGCGTGTTACAGGCTACTGCAAACACAACTGCAAACAGATTTACCTTGGATCAGCAACAGGCAACCTCGGCACACCAGCTACAATTATCGTCACACCTCTTCCTCTTGGAGTCATGCCTGCGGCTGTCAAAGTCTTGCAATGCCCCATGGGACAGCACTTGAAGTGTCAAGGTTGCCTAGCTCTAAGTGGCGGCCATATTGAGTGGTGCAACTCAGAGTAATAACGTGCTGGATTAGTCTGACCCTAGTTCATTATAATACTTTATTGCTGTGTAGATCATGTATAGGGAAACGCCGCGGGTGTCGCCCGTGCAGTACAGCCTTCTCGGCCAAACCTCTGCCTTCCAACTAAACCGGAACTAAGGTCGTTGGAGGTACCGACAAGTTGGAACTTTCGATAGAACAGGTGTCAATGACAGCTGGCTGCAAGTTACTGGACTAAGCAGCTAAGTGCAATTTACAGATATAGAGAGGGGAAAAAATAAATATATAGATTTATATTTGATGTCACATTCCTTATATTTCTCTTACCCTTTAAATGTTAATTCATGTGAATAAAATGAGAATTGCTGCAAGTACTATAGGTTGTCCCAGCCCCCATAACTTCAGCTACATAGCTTGGTCTCTATGTGAACGTGGAGTAAAATATAAGCATGCTTCCTGTAGGTCGGTCATACACACAGGGCTGAATTTCCCACAAGGCCAACCGAGGCCAGGCCTTGGGTCAGCAGGGAGAGGAGGGGCAGCAGGGGTGTGGAATTCCTATCTCCCAATGCCCGGGACATGCAGTGCGGGGCGGGTAGTTTTCTACATTTAGCCCTGCTTTGGGCAAGCAGAGTTAAATGTACAGTGGGGAAGCCGCCACTTGTTTTGTACATTTTATGATCCCTGGCAATGTCACTTGTATTAGCCTGCAGGTCTGCTATTCTCCATGGGGGAGGGGGGCACATTGAGGAACCTGGCCTTGGGGCAGCAGAGAGTAAACCCAGCCCTGCATACACGTATAGTTATTTCTTGTTCAGCCTCTCCTGGGCTATTGCATTCTGACAGCAGTAGTTATGCTGCTGCCACAATACTCAAACAGTGACTGTAATCACTGTAAAGCTGACAACACTCACAATCTGGTTGTACAAGTAGTCACGACTCCAAGTTCGCGCCCGGGATGGACTACAATCTCAAGTTTAGTTTACCGATTTGTAATGAGATTGTAGTCCATCACGGGAGTGAGCTTGGAGCGGTGACTACTTTACATCACACACAGGGAGCATGAGGAACAAAAGTAGCCCCCCTCCAGAAGGAAGGACAGTGTCAGAAACAATTCAGAGATGATTGGAGAATCTACAGCCGAGTGATACACAAAGATACATTGGAGGGGGATTTATTAAAAATTGGAGCAGCTGTGCATGACAACCAATCAGCTTCTATCTTTCATTTTCAAATATTACCTGAACTGAAGAGAAGCCGATTGGTTGCCATGGACAACTGCTCCAGATTTTGTCTGCTACAGTTTTAATAAATCCTCTCATTGCTGTCAATAGTTAAAGGTACTTGAATGTATTTTGTTCATTAACTCACTTTCAGATCCTCAAACCTGTATAAATCCAGAAAAGACCCTTTTTTTTAACAATTAAATGCAACATAAAATTATTAAGAAACACCAAAAACACAGAAATCTATTTAGAAGATATTTAATATTTCACATAAAAACCTGTATATACATATAAATTTAATGTAAACATATCCAAATGTATCTTTTTTTTTTATACAGCCATCAGCCTTTGTTTTCAGTTGAATACAATTTAGTACCACTGTCGGAAAACAAAAAAAAGTGTAAATATCTGCCTCTGTAACAAAGAAAAACGCCGCCCCAATTCTACAGGTCTCTGCGTTTTACTGTGGAGCTACAACATGTCCCATTCTGCAATACTCGGGTCATGTACGTGTTACATGTAACTTTCCTCCGTGACGCTACAATCATGTACGAGAAAATAAAATAGTTTTTCATTAAAAAAAAAAAAATGTTACAGTGGTTGTTTTCCGTTCACGCCTGACCTCTTACAGTCCACGAGGATGAGGTTACGAAGCGAGTGTTGATAGAGTTAGTGTCTATGCAGATGGTAAGTGCATCGAGTGGCGAAGGAAAGACAAAAAATGTGCAAAAATATTTTCACATGAAAAATAAAAAAAATGTTACAGCTGCAAAACAGGCTGATCTGTACTGGGAACCAGTGCCGAGCAATACACGGGCTGTCATTAAACATCTTCAAATGCACATTGCTTGGCTGCCCCGCTGATCGGCTTTCCGAGTCATTTACATCTTGGATCAGAACCAGTTGTGGATTGGTGCGGAGATCAAGATGGCAGCAGGGCAACTAGCATTTTTTGAGAGGCACGGCAGCCTTCATATTCCATCAGCACAGGCTCCCTCTCAATGACACAAGGGCACAGAGTCCGAGGTCCCTCCTAAACAGGTTTTGACAAGCGGCAGTGTGCCAGTTTCTGGTGAACTACAAGTCCCAAGTGTCCTGATACTTGTGGTTCCACAGGAACCGGTACACTGCAAGGTGCCAAGCCTGCTCAATAGAATATTTATCTATACATATATATATATTTACAGGTCTATATACAAGTCAGGAGACGGCCCCCTTCTAGCCCTGAACAGGTCAGATTTGCTTGAACAAGCCAGTAACATATTGCACAGCAACACGCTACTGGGTACAATGGTGACGGAGGGGTCAATGGTACAAGGCATGGCTATCCTATCTCAGGGTGGACCACTATGAGTCTAACATAACTCAACCATGGAGTCCCCTGGATAAGCAGGTAGTGTCATTCAGGTCAGCGGAGAGGGGAGGACACATGTAGTGCCCCCCTTTCCTGGCACAATAGGGAGGCTCAGTCTATCTGTACAGGTGGAATACTGCTTGGCAAGGTGCAGCACTGGTCTGGGGTTAAACAGCGGTTCTCAAGTAATGTGGGGTGACCGCCAGGACGGGAGACCCCCAATCTTCTGTGCATCAGGGTGAACAGTCACATATTTGGGAAGGGGGCTCCAAGATGATAGGTCCCAATTGCCCGATGAATGCAGTTCTCAAGTCACAGTAGGGGGTGCTCCCAAGCATCAGGATGAATATAGTCCTCAGCTCACACAATGAGGGGGTGACCATGATGAGACCCCAATCTCCTGATGAATACAGTTTGAGTCAAAGGTGATAATGTCCCAAGCATCAGGATGAAGGAGATCCTCAGGTCACAAAAGGGGGGCGGGGTGACCTCCAAGACGAGAGACCCCCAATCTTGTGATGAATGCAGTTCTCGAGTCAAAGTGGGGGGGAACAAGGTGATAATGTCCCAAGAATTGGGATGAATGAAGTCCTCATGTCACACAAGGGGGGCTGGCGTGACCTCCACGATGAGACCCTGATTTGAAGTCACAGTAGGGAGGACCAAGGTGACCCCAAACGCCCCAAGCATCAGGATGAACGTAGTGCTCAGGTCACAGATTTTGGGTGAGCTCTGGTGACCCTTTAGGATGAGACACCCCAAATATCAGGATGATTACAGTCCTTCAATAGCACCCCAGCAAGATGACCGATCACAAAGCAGGGGGCACGAGTTGACCTCTTTCCAAGGATGGGGTCACCTTCAATTCTGCCCCCCTAAAGATTTCCTGAGCCTCATGCTCCCTGGGAGGCAGGCATGGTCACCGAGCATCCCACAAGTCCAGACACACACATGGGGGAGGGGGGGATCAGAGGAGCTTGCAGCAGCTCATGCATTCCCCGCTGGGGCCGTGCCTCTTCTGTAGCGCTGCCCTGGTGGCGGTCTCGAACACCTCCCGCACTCCGTCCTTGGTCTTGGCGGAGCACTCCAGGTACTCGTAGGCGGATATGCGTATGGCCATGGCCCGGCCGTCCTCGATGCGGACCGGCTCCTGCTTCATGCGGGCCAGCTCGTTCCGGATGTGCTCGTCGTTCCTCAGGTCCTTCTTGTTGGCCACCAGGATGATGGGCACGTTGGGGCAGAAGTGCTTGACCTCGGGCACCCACTTCTCCGGGATGTTCTCCAGCGAGTCGGGGCTGTCCACCGAGAAGCACATGAGGATGACGTCGGTGTCCGGGTAGGAGAGCGGCCGCAGCCGGTCGTAGTCCTCCTGGCCGGCCGTGTCCCACAGGGCGAGCTCCACCTGCTTGCCGTCCACCTCGATGTCGGCCACGTAGTTCTCGAAGACGGTGGGCACGTAGACCTCGGGGAACTCGTCCTTGCTGAAGACGATCAGCAGGCAGGTCTTGCCGCACGCCCCGTCCCCGACCACCACCAGCTTCTTACGGATCGCCGCCATCGCCACTTTGCTGCTGTAGCCGGCGGCCGCCCGGCGCTTTCTCAGATTGCCTATGGTTTTAATGGTGGCTGATGTGAACGGGGACCCGGTTGTGCAAGGGCGGGCAGTGTAGATCTCCGCTGGATCGGTACGAGGTCAGCGGTTCTGCGGTTGT